AACGATTTTGAAGATTTGGAGCAACTTTATAATGTATTAAAATTATTTTATTTTATACTTAACTGTAGAGTCTAGATAATTATGACACAGCTAGGTTTCACCAGAAGAGTCAATGTTTACTCTTAGGTTTGTTTTCGTATTATTTTGAGGCTTAAATTTACTCCTTGGACTTAAACTAAATATTTATTTCCACGGAAAATCTGTAAGCTGGGTGTCGGGTGACCCAGAAGCATATACTTTTACTCCCAAAACTCAAAAGGGAAATGTATATTGGTAATCGGAAAAAAAGTCCAATACCAACTAAATAAATAACAATTTTTTATTTAAAGTATACATTTCATCATTTTTAATTTTAAACAATATATTATTATTTACCTATGACCATATAATATTATAATATAATACATAATTTTTTATTTAATTTTATATCATAATAATATTTAATAAAATAATTAACCCAATATTTTAAACTATTTAGGTATAAACATACATTTGAAATAGAAGAGATTAAAATATATAGTAATAAAAGTAATTGACATTTGATTTTATCCTAAAAATGATGAAGGTATTATATTTTATTGTATAGACTCTATATAACTTAGTATTTACAACATTTTATTATTAAAAATGTGGTTTTTTCATTCATGTAGTTATTGTTGTGATTTTTTTTAATTAATAAAAAGTGTGTCCCTATACAGTATACCTACATGCGTTATGTATGGTATTCTCTTCAGTACGCATTTTTCGTTCATCTGGGTATTATCGTGCAACATTTTGATTATTTTGCATTAATTGTGCTAATATATAATGGTAATGGAAATGATTAAAAATAATAATAAAAAACCTCAAATTGCATAAGGTGGATAATGGATATTTATTTAACATTAAAAAATAATGCCTGGTACCTATAATATAAATTCGATGCATAATAATATAATCAAATAATTTAATAATTAATAAAATAAATGTAATGAGTATATTACGATTATATGTAACCATGCAAATAAAATTAAAAAAGAATCATATATTTAGTACTGGGCTTTTTTTTACCTATTTTGATATTGGGGCTTCTTTTTCCTAAACTTTTTTTCCTAGATTCGTATAAAATATACGCGAGCCCGAACAATCCAAACGCCGTTTTGGTTATTGGTTTCACCATTCTAAGTTTAATACGTTAAACCATATCTATTCCACCTATACGCCTGATAGCACCTTTGGTTCGCCCAAAGTATTTAAAAGAATGTATTACCTATTATTAATCTACTTTTTTTAAAAAATTTTTTTTTATTGAACTAAAGCTAAATTGCTACTATGGCTATTAGCTGTTTGTATGTGGAACGGTTGTCTTTAAAAACGTATTGTATATTTGTATGTGTGGCAAGGATCTTGTTGCTAAAAATCCCGGGTGGTCATCCATCAGGAAGTTAGGAACGCTGGACGATACGTACACTCTAGTTTTTACGCAGATTAAGCTTAAGACAGCGTCTCACTTAGCCACCTTCGAATTTTATGTACATTTTAAACATCAAATGTATTAATATTTAAACCATTTTAGTGTAGTTTTTACGAAGAATCTGTGGGTACAGCCGCGTACAGGAGTAAAATATTTTACAATTATATTAATATTTTACCATAGTTATTATTTTTAATTAAAATATTATATAATAATACACATTAAATTTTAATATAAATTGATTGTTATCAAGATTTTATTTCCAGTTTATGGTGTAGGTACTCAATACAAGACATTATTATTCGAAAACACACTAATTCCTTATATTAGCATGGACGCTCAGAGGGGGGGGGGAGACGGAGCATTTGCTCCCCCCCCCTGGAATTCAAATAAAATGTTGAACATTTTAACTTTTATTTTGATTTAAATAAACATTTCATCGATATTTTTACTTTAGTGTACGCGCTTAAAAATTACACACCAGCCGATTAAACGAGCGAGTCCCTATTTTCAAAAACGTGGCTATTAATCGCGCAAAATTAAATACGTTTAAATTCTGTGAATTACGATTAGTGTGTCAACTTAACTAGTAAATTTAACAATAACTAAATCTTCTCATGGATTCCTGGGCACTGCGGAATAACTGGTAATGAATAATGAAAGAGCGGACATATACTTGCCAAGGAAAAAGCCAATAACCTACATCAACTAATCCTATGGAGTATAAAATCTGACAGAGATATAAACAAATTATCTACAACCAAATTAAATTAAATAGCAAAACGAATGGCTAAAAATAAACACTAAATCAAACGAAATAAAAAGAACAACAGAAAAATGAAATAACCCGATGTCTTTCAAGAGAAGAGAGCAAGTTTTATTAAATCGCCTCAGAATTGGTCATACACTCTGCAGTCTACACGGCAGTACACGCATGACGACCTCATGAAAAAAGAGCCACCAAAAACATGTCTGACATGTGGATATCCAACCTCAATCAAACATTCAAACACATCATTACAGAATACAGAGACACGCAAGAGGCCCGACTAAAATACAACATACTTCGTTGTACCAACAGTTAATAATAATAAAGTTAACAAGGTTTACAATAAAGCAACCACGAAGACTTCAGTTTTTATTTAATAACGACTAAATAAGTAGCATATAAATATATACTTCTTACCCATTTGGTAGTTTGCGAGGAATAAACTTTTTTAGTATGTTTTTTGGTGTTTGATTTCATTATGTCCCTCCCTGATAAATTTCCCGAGGGTGCCCATGTTTATTAGTATGTATTTACTAAATACAATGAAACTAAAAAAGCCATGATTACGTACTGAACATATTAAGGTCTATGGATTTTTCATATTATATTATTTTAATAATATGTATCACTTAATAAGTATATTCTATTGGGTGAACCACAATCGTTGACATTATTAGTAGAAGATGAACGATTCTAATAATTTCATCGAACAAAAAAAATATAATAAGCCAACGAACACTACAAAACTAACTATAAAACATGTAATTATTCTTAAATATTATTCTGTTCAGGCTTTTCTCATAAAATATTTCAATACTTTCAAGTTTTAGTTCAGAGCAAGATGACGGCGAATAAAGAAAGCTGTTTCTTCGGCGGCGGTGTACTGCACGTCTGTATACTCTGTACACCTATTCACTCTAGATATGGCACAGAACACAGATCACTCGAAAAGTCGATGTTTAAAGTAAGTTTGTTTTCATATTATTTGGGGCTTAAATTTACTTTTTAGGTTAACAAAACCAAATAAAATAATATGTTAAATAGCGTCATAATATTATAAATATAATATTTTGCACCATAATAACGAGATTTATTGTTTGTTAACATTATAGTTTTTGGAACTTATTATTTACACACCAACTATACGATCAATTTAAAAGCGGAAAAACTTAAGGAGAAACGCTGGAAATTATGTAGAGTTGTAGACCACCGGCGGGAACGTCCATTACGTGGAACTGGAGTGACACCTAAAGAGACATACTATACTGCAAACGAAAGACAACGAGAGGACTAGCGGATTAGAGGGATGTCGGACCTTGATGCCATTTGGCCGATGGCGGGGAAAGACGGAGACCTTTGTGATGACCGAGCCACGTTCTCGTTGGGCCTTTGCGACGACGGTTTGGCGGGGTGTACTACAGTAATGCGGTCGAAAGCGGATTATCCGGCGGAGCTGGAGGATGAGCTCGACAGCGATGAATATAGAATATGGCATGCAGCAGCACTTGCAGCAAAAGGGATCAGGGTCAGCAGAGTTTAGAGATCAGCCAACGCCGAAGGACCACTGGAAGCATATTATCATGTAATTGAATTGCTGCCCACCTGTGTTCGTTCTCTGGTTAGGCAAACGGTCGAGAAAGCCAAATTGCAGATCGAGGTGCGTGTGCCCGAATGTGTGTCGGAACTTGAGATGGCGATCTGATCACGGAGGAATTAACGGAAGTGACGGTGAAACTGAATGGGGTAAGAAGCAAGGTACGTGGCAGTTCACAAAGAAGCGCGACAAGACATTTTGTCAAATTTCAATATATAATACATACAAAATATATTGAATATCAAAAAAGTAAGTTATAAGCTTACATTATTATGAACTAAGAATTTCACAACTTATTATAAACCATACCTAATAGATGTAAAAATGTCGGAGAATCGTGAAAAAAATCAAAAGTGTTAGTTTTGTTTCATAATTTCAGCATTCGATTATAACCGGAAGTTTTCACAACCAAATAATCCAAACCTAACCAGAATTATGGAATTCATGTCTCTCTTCTGAGAACGTCCACTGCCAAGCTAACCCTTTTACCAGTTTCACCGTCAAGTCCAAAGTTCATCCTGCAGTCACCTCTCGGTCTGCAACCAAACTTTCCGGTCCAAACCGCACGGCCGCGCATTACCTATACCAATAGAACGAACACGTGGACAAGGGCAGCAATTCCAGCGATTGTGATCCTTCGGCAAGGGCTAATTTTCCTCTATAGCTGATCCTGCTCCTGCAGTGGCCGCTACTGCTGCTGCATGCCATATTCGTCGCCGTCAAGCACCATATCCTCTTGGGCCGTCGAGAGGATACTGCCAGCTGAACCGAAGTCGGCTGCACATTGTAGTGCACTGCGCCGTTGTCGCCGCCCAACGAGAACACCCCATGCAGGCTGGGCGTCCTGGTCCGCAAATCCTATGGTTGTCTTTCGTGCAGTATGTCTGAAAGGCGGAAAAATGGAAATGGAGATTCCCCGATTTCGAACCAGCAGTTCTCCTTAAAGATTTGAACGGTTTCCTGAAATGATCGTCGGTCAAAAGCTGCTCTGTTTCGGACGTGATAACCTGAAAAGCTTGACAAAATGTCAACGTTTGATAAAAATACAGGAAAATTTTAATTTCAAGACCAAAAAAAAAAAAATTGTTTCGTGATAATAGAGCAGAATAGATAACAATATACATTCAAATTCACGTTGATAGTATTGTTCATAGACCCTTAGTTAATAGGTCTATGGTATTGTTACATTATACTACTTTTTTACGGTTATTGATGATACCTAAATTTAGTAAACTATTTCATTAGAATTTATGAATCTAATCGACGATTATTGATTAGTGTGTAATTGAAAACAACTGTTGAGAAAAAAAATAACCATGAATTATATGATATTCTAATATCAAATACTTATACCAAATAATAAGCAAATAAATTATTGACTACGACTAACTCAAACTGAGATAACTAAGTTTTATTTTTTGGAATATAAGTAGGTACTTATTAATTATTACTATTTTTATTTATTGTAATGTTATAAGCTTATAAACTACCTATATTCATTTTCAGCTAATAAATTTGTTAACGTCTATTATTATATTTTATTTAGCAATTTACAGATTAGATATTTAATAAAAAAATCAAATATTGGTTACTTACCATAAATATATGATTATTGATTATATGTATGAATAATCTATTTCAGAAACATTATCAAGTTAATTTACTCAAAAAAATGTTGAAATCAGTTTTGAGGCAACTATATAGACATAAGTCTTCATCAGCCTCTGAAAATATTATAACAACTGTCAAGTCAATTAATTCATACCATATAACTCTTTCAGATCCTAAAACAAGGTTTGTATAAATGATATATTTAATTAATTAAAAAAATATTTTGTATACCACAGAATAAACATTTTCGATAAAATCTCATTTAATTTTTATCTTTTTATGTTGATTAACATCAATGAACATTTTTAAATATTAAGGCTGTCAATAACAAACCGTTTTTAATCCCGGTCAGATTTAGACAATAGGCTTTATTTCACGAGTGATGTGTAAACTCTGCACGTTTTACATAACTAAAGATAAACTATGGCAAAGATTCTTGGACATCAGTAACATATATATACGCAGTCACACATCACTATTAATTTGCGATCAAAAAAGTTTCAACTTGAAAGTCCTAAAAAGTGGAATAAAAATTCACCCAGTACCAAAAGCATAATTTTAATTTTGAAAACATTTGAATTCCTTATTCTCTTTTCTAGGTTATGCAGGAAACAGGTTTTCAATTCTGTTGAATTGTTTAATAAGTGTAGTACCAAATTAATTTAATTTTTTTTTCAAAATATTTTTTCTTCTGCTTATTGGTCTAAATGCACAAAATAACGGCCCTCTTTCCACAGCCTTTAACAAATGTAAAAACATTTTTAATGAACAAAAATTGATGTACATATAGGTACAAATACCATCAACAGTTGTTGCATTTTTTTTTCCATAATTTAAATTATATCACTGATGCAATTTTTCAATTACTGCGGTATATTGTACATATATATAAAGTATAAAACATTATTTCATCATCATTGCTACAGTACCTATGCATAAGTGTATATTCAGTTACACATTATTGTAGTGTTAACAGATGTTATTGACACTGATTAGTTTCTAAATTGAGCTCTATATATATTAAGAGAGTATAGGGAGTAAGGGAAGAGCACTCCTTTAAATAGGATTTTATAGAACTATTTATTGTCCTTACAAAAAAAAATGTTCTTTGTAGATACAAGTATACAATCCTAGTATTTAAGTATCATAAATTAAATAGTTTAATAAACCTAATTTATATTTTAATCATAAATATTTATTATTTTACTTTTCTAGAAATTCACTATCCATTGTTGCACTACAGCGCTTAATTGAAGAAATAAAAAATGCAGGAAATGATTTATCTTTAAAAAGTATAGTACTACGTGGAAATGGACCTGTTTTTTCTGCTGGACACAACCTCAAAGAGCTTGTAAGTTAAAATATATGTTTATTTTTGCTGTGGTATACATTTTTTTTTCAAATAAACTAATGTTTTGGATGTTGGTAGACCAATTCTCTACACACAGGTCTGCAAAATAATTATACACATTGCCAATAAAGGTATCCATGTGAGAACTTATATCAATTAGTTATACTGTATCAAAATCATTATTGTACAGTTTTTTTAGTGCATGTTTAGAATATAAATGATTTATCTATCTTTTATAAGTAATGTTAGTATTGGAGATATAGAGTTATACAAAATTAAAAAATGTTTTCAAAAGTTTTTACAAACAAAATAAAATACTTAAATGTCAATATCACTTAGGTATAAATACAAAATAACATTTATTATAGATATTATATAATGATAATAACGATAATACATTTTAGTTATAATAAATTCACAGTTTTAATCTGTGTTTTACAAATTATTTTATACAATAATTTGAAATAAAAATAAAAACAAGGTTCAATGTGGCCTGTAGAGAGCCTTCTTTCAGATAAAAAAATAGTTAATCCACCAATTTTACAAGGCCTCATAATTTTTCTATGAAGTCATTTTTGTTAATATATTGTATCAAACCCTTCTAAATATGTATTGGACAATAGATTAGTGTAAAAGTATTATAATAAAAGAAGCAACTAAAATAAAAAAATTATTTTCAAATTTTATGGAATTGTGGACAGTTTTGAAAACGTTTTTTTAAGTTTCTGTTAAATAGATTTGACATAATAACCCTTTTTTTCCAATTTTTGTTGATGTTTGTCATCAATAATTGTTTTGTCCTTAAGAAGCATAATGAGAATTATAAGAATCACGTAATAAATTTTTATTGTTTAGTTTAAATAAATAATATTTAGATGAAAAGTATAATTTACTTTATTCAATAATTAATAAAAAAATATTTGTATAATCTTATAGAGCATACCAGAAAACCAGAATATTGTATTCTCATTAGCTACAAAACTTATGAATACAATGATAGATTGTCCTATACCTATTATAGCATGTGTTGATGGTATAGCTGCAGCATCGGGTTGTCAATTAGTGGCAGCTTCAGATATGGCGATTTGTTCGAACCGCAGTTCTTTTTCAACACCTGGGTACGGAATGTATTTAACTTAATACTTTGTGACTAAAATGCTATGCAAAAAAACTTAAATTATATATCATATTTTACTTTTAGTGTAAACCTTGGTTTGTTTTGTTCTACTCCAGGAATTCCACTGACTAGAGTTGTGTCAAAAAAAACTGCAGCTTATATGTTATTTACTGGTACACCAATCAATGCTGAAGAAGCCCTTAGAACTGGTCTTGTTAGTAAGGTTGTTGAACCTGAAGAATTAGGTTAATTATTTAAAAAATATTTAGATGTGATTGGTGCTACTAATCAATATTACCTTTAGATGATGAAATTACCAAGTTGACAACATTAATTGGTCAAAAAAGCCGTTCTGTAACTACTTTGGGAAAGAAATTTTTTTACAGACAAATTGATGAAAATATTAAATTAGCTTACAAGTAATTTTTATAATTTAAAAATAAAAATGTTTGTTGTAGACGTTGTAGTTATAAACATTTAATAATTAGTGCAGAATTATACATTTAATAACTATACATTTCTCTAACAATTAAACTCATGATGTATTTACAGGAATGGAGAACAAATTATGCTAGATAATTTAGAACTCAATGATTGCAAAGAAGGTTTACAGTCATTTGTTGAAAAAAGAAAACCCAATTGGTCAAATTAAAAATAAAGTGAAATTTCCATTTAATAAAATAAAATAATCTATAAAACTATTTTTTTTTTATTATTCAATTGTCATCAAGTGTTATTTTCATAGGTATGTTGTATAATATTGTACTTTGTACATTTATGTTTGTTACCGAAAAATAACAAAAGATACACATTATTCTGGTAAGGTGAACCAGCACAAATTTGAACAATCAATTACTAGAATTGAAAATATTTTAATAGGAAATTTAATTTGAAATTTTGTTTTCATAATCGACATGATATAGAAAACACAACAATTTGAATCTTTTTTCTTAAAATCACAATTGTTTTACTTTCCATTAATGCTTATTAGTAATCACCAAGGGAACATTTAAATTGGAAAATAAATGCTATTTGTCTGAAAAATTATTTTTTCAGAAATGTATTTTGATGGAAACATGTGAGAAATGTATTTTCCATGAACTGTACTTTTCAGAGCAATATTTAATCAGAAAATTTTATGGTCTTCATTTAAAAATGGATTAATTTAGTCTTATATAACAGAGCCCTGTTTAATTCAGTTGGGTCCTACTTTGGATTAATTTAAATATTTCTTTATCAAAACGTGCATTAGTAGGTACGTTATCTAATTCAATATGACATTGATAATCAACAGACAAGTTACTTTGTATTATTTAGTATTTACAGCTATGCTTTCCATAATATTATTGTACCTACTGCAATTTGTTTACCTATAGCCTATAGCTAAAATTTTATAATGGTTTATATTGGTTGCAGATTATAATAGTACTAGTAGAAATTAGTATTTATTAATTTTTTTTTGTCTATTGCCACTTTGGTTACTCCTTACTCAAGCAAACCAGGTACAAGCGTGTAACAAATTTTTGAGTTTACATAGTTTCAATAGAAGAAACTATACCTTACAATCAAATGTGTATATTTGTAGCTTTTATAGGTACTCAAAAACTACTAAATTGACATTAACAAAAATCCCAGAAATTAATTTTAGAAATTTCAGAAAAGTTTAGAGGGTAAGTTAGTTTTTAATAAAACCAGTAATCTAATAAATAATAATTTTTAATGATTTAAAGAAAATTTCTACCTCTAATATAAAAAGTTGCAACACCAAAAAGCTACACATGGACGAAGCCAGTTATTCATCTAGTTATTAAATAATAACACAATTATATTTAGCTATATATTCTTTATTTTTATAATTAAGTTAAGCATTTTTTTATTAATTTCTAATTAAAAAATAATTTGAATATTTTCTCGAATTGGATGAATTTTGTCAAAATTTTAAGTTTAAATCCATATAATAATTGTACCCAGGCGTTTTTAATATTTTTGAACTGCTATTAATTCGATTTATGAGGACCCTGTATTAAATTGTCAAGTTTTTTACGTGAACAATTCTTTATCTTAACAGTAATTTTTAAAAAAATAACAAAATTTGAAAAAAATCTCATGGTTAATCTTAGTCCGTGCTTTTAAGTACTACTAGTATTATTTGCTAAATGTAAAATAATAATCCATTTGGTTTCCACTGGTCATCGTATGACGTATGTGCAAAAAAAATGAGGCTGGGGGTGACTCTTATCACGGTAGCTCGTATTCTATAATTTACGAGTGATCACTGATCTCTCAGGGGGCCGGGAACATAGAGTAATTACCATGAACTAAGATATATATCTTAGTTCATGGTAATTACTCTATGGCCGGGACAGATTACAAACATTTTTCGCTTATCAAAATCGGGAAATCTGTACCCGTCCCATCTCTCAGATCATTTTTTTATCACGATGCTCATAATAGAAAATGAAAATGTGTCTATGATAATAATATTATGATAAAAGATTAAAAATTTAAAACCAAATATAATTTATTTGCATTTTGCTTAGACTTACAGAAGTCTAATGTCTATGTTTATTGTTTATTTGTTACAGGCTTACAGCAGTTTACAATAAGAATTAAGAAGTTACGGTATTCTGTTTTTAAAATTATTTATAGTTTATTATTTTTTTTTAAAATCATATCTGTCCACAGACACATATGATATTGATTATCAACGATTGAATAGTGAATACTACATATTAAATTTTTTCTGCTTCAAAATATAGCCATTGGGCTAACAGATAAAATGTTACTGCTACCAAAATGTATAAATACAATTGTACTAAACAATATAAAGCGAAGTTTCATGACAAAATCTTATGGTTTAATGTACTCTAATGTTAATCAAGTTACTATTAAACATGCCAAAGATGATAAATTTATTCCTATTTATAAGTAAGAATGATCATCTCTTATTAGTTAGTTATATAGTTACCTATTAAATTTAATAATTCATGTAAATCTTAGATGTATTATTAACAAAAATGAAAAAAATAATAATTTCCTTCAACATTTTAATAGTATAGTTTTTATGATTTAACCATTATTTCAGAACACCTCATATGAAATTTTTCATCAGTCTAAATAGAATGAAAAAATATCAAATAGTAGGACTATTTGGTTGGATTCCTATGTGTCTAAGTTTAAATATGCTTAGCTATTTAAATTCTGATGAAGTAATTTGTGCATCATTAATAGGTAAAGAAAAGTATTTTTTTTTCTTTTTAACATTTTTTGATACATCTTGTTAATTTTTAGGTTTAGGTTTAACAGCTGGCTTACATATTGCATCTTGGATCATATCAAATAATCTTATTGTTTTTGTTTACATGAGTGAAGACGACCGAAGATGTCGGATGTCATATATATCTTATTGGGGGAATCGGGAGGAATTGTATTGCAACACTGAAGATATAATACCTATTGAATTTTCTAAATTCAGTCTTTTAAATCACAAAGTTAAATTGAAAGAAAGTTCAATTACACTTAAAATAGTTACACGCAACTCGACCATTTTAAATAATGCTAAATTTAGAAAAGTGTTTGGTAGTAATATTATTTGAAAAATAAAATTAAAATTGAGTCATGTAAATTTTAATTTTTTAATCGAAACTATAATACCTATCAATACCATACCTACTTCACAGTTCTATGGTAAATCTGTATTGACTCAAAAGTTTATAATAATAATACAGCGAAACGTCCCGTAACAGACACCCCCAAATAGGGTTTTTTGGGAATGAACTACAAACATTCTACAATCTTAATCCTCTAAATAGCGGACTCTTCCAACTAATTAACAAAATTGCATAGGCAGAGTTTGTCCAGTATTTAGAAGTTTCACTGCATTGTGGTATTATAATAATTAAATAATAATACATTAAATGCAATGTTTTTGGCAAAAATTAATGCAACCTCTCACCATATTACTTATAGTAAAATAATTAATTATAATAGCAATATAAATTGGGATATCATACAATATACTGAAATAGTTATATAGACCAGCGGTTCTCAAACTGTGTTCCGCGGAGCCCCAGGGCTCCGCGAGAGTAATCTAGGGGATCCGTGGCTCCCATATATAAATATATATCATCTGTATTAATTAAATTCAAATTATTAAATTATTATTATGTTTTTTAGTTACATTTTTAATTTTTATACTTGTATTTATTATTATTTGGACCGTACCAATATGTATGATTTTAAAGTTTAAAACTGTAAACTATTTATAAATTCACATATTTTTTTATGCTCAACATCATTTTCTATGAACTATTGTTGTCTCAAATAGACATTTCTGAATTTTGGGGGCTCTGTAATTTTTTTTTAGTAACATAAGAGCTCCGCAAACAAAAAAGTATGAGAACCGCTGATATAGACCATCTTTGCTCATAATTGTTTTTTGTATGCAATGATTTATCATTAAATTTAAATACACTTACATTACAGAGGCATTTAATCAATGACTAGGTACTCTCCACAGCTATATAAAGAAGTATATAAGTTACTTTATGTATCTATGGTACACTCTTTAACCTTTATCCCAAAACTTTATCCAAGAGCCTTCTATGAAATGAACAGAACAATTTGACTAGTATCGTCTATGCATTCAATAAGTTCATTGATGCTCATTCAAGATAACCTTCATATATAGTACATGTCACATCATGATTTTATATATTTTTTGTACAAGGTGGATATATAGTAATTATACTATAATTTTACAGTACAATAATTTAAATGCATAAAATGTATTATCTATCCTTTGAAACATTCGTGTAAGTTTGATTGACAAGTCTATTTATTAATTTTTATATTTTTATAACTAGTTACGTACTTACATGTTCATTCTAATAAAGAATGCAAACTTAGATCAATAATACTTTCAATATTTATAATTTAATAAGATGACAAATTAATTTTACAATACAACAAATTAAAATTGTGTATTCTACAAAACTTGACATTTTATCTGATTATTTCTAAACACAATAGAATAATACAGATGATAATCTAAATATAATAATTAAATAATACAAGTTTGAATTTTTTTAAATGATTACTTAAAAAGTTATTCCTTAACACCTAAAAGAATTATATTTTCAAATCTTAGAAATTAAAATGTCTTATTTTTAATGTAATGATAACCCATAATTTACAAGCTACTACTATATAATATTGTTTATGTTACAAGTTTGATCCAAGAAATATCTACTATCCATCGTATTTTCCTTTCATCAATTATGTACTTGGATCTGACTAGCTACATAGATGAAATGTGTGTGACATGTGTTACAAACAATTTGAATACATTAGAATTAAAAAAAAATTTATTGGCCGTCAAATCTAAATTACAAATGCATCAACAATTGTTCACTAAAATTATAGCTTTTTAATTTAACGAAATATATGTTTACATAACATGTATTTAAGTAAATCAGTTTGATTTAATAAAATAGCTACAGTTTGATTTTAAATAACAAACATAAAATATTGCTGTATAAGTTATGCGATATTGTCGATTACTGTACTGATGATAGTACTTTTCTTTTCAATAATTAATTAAGCACATATCTTACTCTTTCTTAATTATTAGGTTTACCTTAATACAAATATAGTAAGTAATAATAATACAAATATTTACTATAAATAAAAAATAAATGTTAATATTTGATAAAAAAAAAAAATATAATAATAATTACTGAGGTACACAAACAATAAAAAACAATCAAAGTATACATTTATGATATAAAAAGTAATTTTTTTTTTAATAATTTAATTTATTATTTTAAATTTTATTTTATATTTATAGTTTATGCTATAGACTAAAACACTAAAATTATCGATAATATTGAAAAGAATGATGTAATTGCAAAGTAAATTACATAATATAAGGTATTGTAAACTTATTTTTATTAATATTTGTTAACAAATAAAAATATATTATACAATTATAATATAAGAAACCAATAATAAATAAATAATTTAAGTAAAAGAATAAAACATTTCCAGTGGCTTGTTAACTTTCCAAAACTTATCATGTACATTTCGAAGTGTTTGATTGCCATTGAGAGGAACAAATTGATCCGCAGTGGGTGCAACATAGATCAAAAAATTAAGAGCTCGTTCTGGAAGCTCTGAGCCGAGGTCTAAAGTCAATCGCATGGCTAAATACTTACTCAAATGATCAACTAGAAAAAAAATCATGTACATATAATGGCTGTTTCAAAAATTGACTTGTTTAATTCTACTCATATAAAATATAAAGCTATTGAAAAAAAAACTTTTGAATAGTACCTATATAAAAATAAAAAAAATAAAAATATTCTGCGCTTGTCCTGTAGGTACTATACATAAAAAATGAACATATTCTTCACCTAGAATATTTTAGTCGTTTATTGCAGTAATACTTTTCAATGTTTGGGTAATGTGTAAAAAAAACCATGAAAAATATCTGAACAATAACAAAAGAACTAAAGAATTTCTAGGGACATTTCATTCTGTACTAATTTATTGTAGTGAAGTAATTTAATTTTAAAGACTTACCAGTCGCATTGGCTGTTGTTTTTATATAACGGACAGAGTTTTCTTTCAAAACTCTGATCAATTGATTATCACTAGCCATTTCTGTAGGATGCGGTTTAAATACTAGTTCTATTTCATCTACTGAAACGCCTTTTGATGTACCATCACATTCTGTTATATCCGAGGTGTCAACGGTTGAAGCGGGTCCTTCTTTTTCTGAGATCATAACAGACTTCATCTTCTTTGCAACTTTTGTTTGTACCATTGTTCTTGTTACATTATCTCGACCTGAACTATTTGAAGGTTTCGAAGTAGTTGATGAGCTACTTTCATTTAGTTCTTCATGTTGGTTCTTTTTGGTTCGTTGTAGTCGATTTTGAGTTTGTAATTTAATACCTTCATTTATTGACTGAACTAAATTGGCCTGACTGTGACTCTTATTTAACTTTTCCAATACTCTAGTTTGATGTGCTTCGTATTCATCACGGCTAGGGTAGATCTTGGATATGAGAAGATCAAAATTTGGATCGGGTCGTAGAGACCGTTTAGATACGAGTTTCTTACGGCAAGTAGGACATTCTTTGTTACCTGAACGAAGAGCAGTCACAATACAGTCTGAACAGAATCTAAAAATGGGTATACAGTTTTATTAGTTGTATTATTAATTATAATATATAGCATAAATTAAAATATAATATGTAATCATATTTTATAATTACCTATGGAGACATTCTTTAGTAGTCATTGTTTTTTTCAACATATCCAAACATATAGGACACATTAGTTCACTATGTAGACTTCGGGGGGATACAGCAATTTCGGTGTTGTCTGTAATAGCTTCTTGAGGAGATCTATGCAATTCGTAAAGTGAAAGTTCCCAAGTTTTGGTTAAACCCATTGGATCAGCTGAAGCCATGTTAAAAAAATTTTTTTTTGCAATCAGATTTTATAAAATACTAAATATGGTATTAGTAATCCTGAATTACAACAAATTTATAATTTATTTAATAAAATACTCAATAAGAATAATACAAATAATAATATTAACAATGTATTCATTAATTTAACTATATAAATAAATTATTATACTATGACTTAAAAGTTATAGCTTAAGTTAACTATTATACATTTTATAACGTTTAGAGCATAATATACAAGTACAACAGTCACCAAGTAAGGTTTACTGTTTATAAAAAATAGTAAATACTGTATTGTTGTCATAAACGACAAAATTACATAAACTCAAATCAGATTCAGAAATCTGATTCAATTAATGCGATAGTAATAAACAAACCAAAACAATCGATTATCAACTATTCAACAATTTAATGTAAAACTAATCATTTGATTTTTAATGGACCTAAAATACCGAATACGTGCGAAAATAATGAATTTAATTAAAATTAATCTGTTGTAATAAAACTATTGGAGACACATTTTTAAATTTTAATTTATGTAAGACGTAGAAATGTGTAAATATTAATACTCCATTTTATGCGATTGTTTTATGTAAACAAAAAGCGGATACTATGTAATATCGATTTTTGTTATCAGTAAAAAATTCTAAATTATTTTTATCACCTAATGAGAATTATGAAAATATTATTTACAGTTCGAAATTTCAATATTCATTATTCATAATTATTAATTACTAATTTTAAGCCGTTAAACAATTAACCGTTACCGTTACCGTTTTATTGCCTAGCGAGTACAATAATTTGTATCCCAATTATAATATAATAAGCAAAATGGTCTCATACTCTTATTCAGTAAAGTTGGTTGTACTTAACACAACCAAATAATACACATAATACCAGCGCCGTAGCTAGGAGTGCTAAGCCCCCCACCCTCGAAATATCAAACTTACTAGTTACTATACCCGGTAGTACCCTAGCCCTAGCAGTACAATGTAGTAGCCCCTCCCCCCCACTCCGGTAGGACGACCTAGATTCAATTGATTATTATGCATTTATCATTTATGGGCAACATGGCTTTATGCAATTGTAGCTATACTTCTATAATTACATACTATAATAGGCAGTAGCTTTATTTACTTAACAATTA